TTAAAAGATCAGCAGCTTGATGGGGCTTATCACTGCAAACACTTAAAACTGACCTGGAGACAGAGGTAGGGAAAGGTGAGGAGAAAAGGAATTACAAAAGCCTTGCTCTGGCATGCAGAAGCAATGGAAAAGCAGAACTGTCAGGCCATCCCTACAGTCCATCTAGTCCTTGATCTGCTTCCTTCTGCTGACACCAAGGAAACATAGATACTCAAAGGAATAAGGTAGGCAGATGACTGAAGGCCAGCACAGCAGAATGAAGACTTATCAAGTAGAAACCGGTTCTGTTCAAGAAAATTACTCAATCTCAGCACGCATATTAAAGGCCAGTTCTTTTTAAAACTAAGTGCAAATCCTGTCCCTTTCAGTCATTCATGAGGCATGGGGGAGAGGAAAATCTTCCCTTCCTCCCTCAAGTTATTTCCAGTGTCACGTGGACAAAAGTTTTATAAATGCAAACTGCAGCAAGTACTACCTAGGAGGTTCTCTGATCAGAAAACTGCGGGGCTATTTATCTTTATTTATTTATTTCCACTGTTTTGACTTTCACTGGGCTAATTAAGAAAATATTAACAAGGGTTCGACTGAAGCACATCTCCTGCATACTCTCCTATTAGAAATAGTTCCAAAACAAGTCTTGCAGCAGCAAACTGCAGGTCCTTGGTTCACCACATTCAGGTTGGGGCAGGGGCTCCTTGGGACTGTCCTGGTCCCATCCAGCCAAGGACTGCAACCATTTACTCTATCTGTCAACATGCATACCTTGAAATTTGTGTTCAGGGTTTAAACAGGCTTTCAGAGAATTGTTGCTTCCTCAGTTCATTTTTCATCGGGCGCTACTATACTACTCAGTTTCACAAAGCAACCCTGAAGCATTATGCTGAAAACTACAAACAAGCACAGTTCTACATCAGCAAATTCAAACGATGGAAATCACATAACTAACACACGCCATTATACCACCTCAAAATATTTCACAAAGCTGCTGAAAACACTATGTAGCTACTGAAACAGAACTAGTTATCACCTTAATCTATAGCAGTTCACCTGTCTATAATAACATCTGCTTTCAAAGTTCCCAGAGCACTTCTTTACAACATTACAGTGGATAACAACTTTTCTACATGATAAATATTGTCAGTGGCAAGTAATAATTACCTGTGCAAAATCCTTGAGTTTGCTCATTTATCAGCCTAGATAAGAAGTTTAAGAGTTGAGAACACTATTTAGCTGGTTGCAATTCCTAAGAGTCGCTATAAGGATTTTAATGGTTTCCTACAACCATCAAACTACCTTAAAATGGTTAAGAAGGTGAAAAATAGTGTCTTTGAAAAGCTTTCCCCTCCCTCAGAATAACAGACTCAACTTCTAAAAGACACTGGATAGGTTAGAAAGGACTTTGTGTGCACTATGGTAAGGCAGAAAATGGTCTCTGGATCAGTAAAGGTGTCCTGAAACTGAGCTGAAAAACACATACAGGTTATTAGACTTCTTTTGTTTTCCAGTTTCCATGAAAAACAGACTTTCTAAATCTCATGCTCTAAAGAAAGCGGTGAAGAACATAACAAAAATGACCTGGGGTTTTTCCATTTAAACTGAAGCAGATAGCTTATGCTGCTTCTGCGAGTCAAATGTGACTTCTCTTGAATGATATACTCATGCATTTCTCAGTAAAAGTAACAAGTAGGACTTGCTCAAAAACAAAACAAAACAAAAAAACTTAAAGAAAAGGCTAAAACTATGTGAAGTTAGGAAATGCTGATGTAAGTAAAACCATCAAAGAAAGTCATAATTCATGGTGATTTTACGGAGCGTTGATATAGAAAGATACGTAAAAGATTAAAACTGAAACAAATGAAGAAAACAGTTTTCCTTCTAAATAAAAGCAAAGCTGGTTCATTAAGCAATGACTGTATACCTCCATTTCTCTCTGATTACACCATCAAATTGCTTCTATGGGCTTGATATTTTTTTCTAGTTCCTGTGTTATTAGATGGTTTCAAAATTCCTTTTAAAACTGTTATGTCTTTTGTTAGTTAATAATGGTCTAAAAATGTCCTTGTTAATAATGGTCTGCTCTAGCTACTCAGGAGAACTTACACTATCATCTATGTTATATTAAAATCATCCATTGCTATTATTCAGAAGGAGCTATAAATAAGACCTGTTCTATATGACGGTGAAACAAGACTATCCACAACACTTCAGGCTGAAGAGAAATAGGATGCATTAGCACAGCATAAGATATATTTAAAAACACAGCTCAGAAAGGGAGGTTGATAAAAGGAAAGAGGCAGAGAAGTAATCAAGGGTTGAGATCATAAATCTCAATATCTCATAAATACATACAGGAAGACTGAGTTTTGATGGTATTGAATGGATGAAAGCTTGAGAGCTTGTTAAGTGGTCAAGCAGAGAGAAGAGGAGAGAGGCGTGAAAGAGCAAGAGAGCTCTTACACGGCAAACCATTATTTAGTGAGATATTCTGAGGCAGAATGATGAGGACAGTACATTTGTTAGCTGTGATCAATCAGTGGCAAGATTGTGATGCCACTAGGAAATAAGCACTAGATTTCTTGCATGATTCTTTCACCCTCCCTGATAACAGCCAGGCTGAGGAACTGCAGAAATGCTCTTCTGAAGCTCTTTTTTATGCCAGTTTTTGTACTATCAGCAGTACATGGTACATTCTAGTACGGATTCATGTGTTCTCTCATCTCACACCTACTGAAGGCACATGCACTGCCAGCATTTGTTGGAGACTTATGACCCAGTGATTACATCCACGCAACACACCCTTCAGAAGCAAGGGATGCAGGAAACAGCACAGAATTAGTTCTGTAAGTTCTTAAGTGTTCCCCAAGGCCACATACAAAACTGGAAAAATGTTTCTCTTGAGCCCCATTTTCAATAGTTTAGCTAGGACAGCCATCCAATTGTCTTTCAGATCTCCATCCTATTTCAGCCTCCAGAATTGCAAGACTGATCAAAAGCAACAACAAAACAAAACAACCTACCGCCTCTCGATTCACATCTGTTTTTTCCCAGTGCAAGCATCACAGGCAATAGCTCCCTGGCTGGGCTTTGTGGGTTGGTGTGGTGGGCTCCCACTGACGAGACGTTTCATTCCTCTAGCTGCATGGCATGGACAGATTAGAAACTCAGAGAAGTAAGTGTAATAACAAAGCCCTAGTTCACCTCTAAGAGATGTCTGGCAACATTTCGATGAAAGACAGAGTAGGTTCATTGATAGTAGGTGCTATAAGAGCAGAGCAGTAGGGTTGTTAGTTGCAAGCCACAAGGAGTGCAAGCCCTGCCCAAGTTACAAGTAGATCTGTACCACACTGCTTCAGATGCCCTTTGCCAGCTATCAGCTTCTGCAGCCCTTAGTTCCCAGGTTTGTAAACTGCCTTCCTCATATTACTGTTTAATTCTGCTCATCATTTGGGTATACAGGGATTAGATAATTACAGCAGTTGCATGTCAAGCTTGGACACGTAGCTGAACAGCTTTTGGCTTTGAGGAGTACTGAACCAGTTACATAGCTTTTAAGGAAGTGGAAAGCATTAAATCAAAAGGAAAGTTATGAAGATAGAGGGAAAAAATTAACCTTAGTGGAGGAAGACAATAAATGGCAATGACCATAAGCCTCTCTTACAGATTTCAAGGACATAATAAAGCTATAACATTAAATATTATTTTAGCTGCTGCTTACCCTGTGTCAATCAGAGTAATTCATTCCAGTTACCTACAACACAATATTAAGCCACACCAAATCAAAATCACAGATGGTGTGAATTTGTAAGATCTGTTTTGCTGCAGAAGCATTAGCAGTCTAGACAGAAAAGAAATCAATGGCATATCTCAGTACAAAAGCCACCTAGGCTTTTAATATAGAAGTCATAAGGCACTTATTTTTCAGGAGTTCTGTATTCACAATATCCCCATCTCCAAAAAAAGCACCCTTTTCTGCCCATTTCTGATGAAACTAGTTTGTGGTATGTCAGCACTGTGAGCCTTATGAACGTGTTCAGAACAAGATGTAAGTTAGCCACAGACAAATAATGTATATTAAAAATCAACAAGCCTTACTACTAGCCACTAAGTGAACTGATTTTACGCCTACAAAAATAAAACAATTATAGCAATATGAATGGCAGATTCATCATAGCAATATAAAAACTCCAAGTGTGCTTGTCTGCTGAGGACCTTTAATTCATCCATCTGTATTAAGTATTCACAAGGCGGGAGAAATGGAATGGACTTCATAAACAGCTCTAACTTCCATTAATTCACCCTGCCAAAAAAAAACCAAAACAATATTAAACTTTAAAAAATAGTTTCAGCAAGTGATACAACTGGGATATGTAGGAAAGGATAGAATTTAAAGCCTCAAAAACCTGACCAGTAAATCTGACTTTTTTTTTCAAGTTACAATTAGTGTCTTCGTAATCCTGTGTACTGTGTTTAGTGCAATATAACAACATAGGCGATATGGCCACAAAATACATTTATTTTGTGGTAATACAGGTACCAATGGTTAAGCACAGCAATGGCCTTTTTCTTTTAAGCTATATGTTCTCCATTTTTGTGCACCTGCTTATTTTTGAGGGCAATACAGATATCACACAAAAATCACCTGTATTTTATAGTAACACAGCTGTGCTAAAAAAGGCAAACCTGTAGTGCCTTTTCAAGTACCACAAATGCCACCTGAGTCTACCATGGGCCTCTTCCAAGCCTTCTGGGGTCAACAGAAAGCGGTCTGCTGCTTGGGTCCCACATTGCCCCTGGGAGAAGACAGCACTGCAGGCCCAGCAAGGAAGGCAGAGAATCACTGCTGGGCACACTGGTAACTGAGTCCCAGGGAATGCTTCTGAGACACAGACTAGGAGTTGTGTGGCAACTTCAGGCTCTGCTACCTACGCCTACAACACACATTTTTGAAGTGGCCCATAGACACCAAGAAAGTACAAAAACAACTTTTTTTCTTTATTCTGATTGCCAAATTATTTAAGGCAGGTATAAAAATGAAAGCATTCAATATACATTTTACATAAAATAAACTAGATTACAGCATAAAACAAGTAACCAGGCAATGGCATTAAAGTCTCTCTTCTAAAACTGGATAATTGTAAACATTAAAAAAAAGACTGCAGGACTATTCAAGTAATAGAACAATCACAGATGTCTTCTGTTATGCAGGCTATTGGTTATCTGCCATTCAAGATTATCAAAAAAGACATTTCATTATTCACAGATGCTCATTATTTTCCATTTAAAAATTTTACATTATGTACAACACAGTTTTTGTGGTACTAAGATCCCCATGCCTTCCAAAGGTATATTTTTCACAATACACAATTACAATGAAACAGCGAATACAGTAACATTTTACACTGATGCATCTTAATAGAAGCCACCAAATAGACATCTACATTGTACCAAAGTGTCATCACAGTTAGCCTCTCTGAGAGCTTGTGGGAAATATCAGAAGGGTACGCAAGGTTCAGGCACACTGATACATAACATTATTTATTTACAATTTGAAAGGAAAAAAAAAAAAAGGAAACAGAAGAAGAGAAAAGAAACAAACAACCTTTTGTGGTTAACACTTTCTAAACATGACAAATACATTTCTCCTTTTACTAGGTGGTTTGCAACTTAGCAGCAGACCCTGTGTGTGAGCCTGGTTATTGATACAAAAAAAGTAAAGAATATATATATATTTTTATATATATATGTATATATATATACGCATATATATATATAAAAACAGAAGTCTAATTACAGCAACATTTGTTACTCTGTGATAAAATCTGCAATTTACAAAAATGAAATGACTGGTTTTTGCCTGCCATTAAGGCATCTCAAATTAACACCATGGAACTGATGTCTGTAATAAAGCGCTTCCTCATGTGATCCAGTCACATGACAATGTACATCTCCAAACTCATCATTCTCTGAAAAGAGAAAGAAGAACGTTTTAGTATGTGCTGTTCTTTTTTCCTAACATTTTCTGCACCTCGGATAAACTGTGAAATGAAACCTGCACAGCACTCTCAAACCCAAGCAGGAAAGACATCCAAGCCACGTCCTCTTCCTTCCCCTGCCAGGAACATATTAGCAGGTAAAAAGCACTAACATTGAAACCCTAGTGTGCACCAGACCTTTCTGACCTAGCAACCTTTCTTATTCAAATAATTTCAGCTGAGAGCTTTACACGCCCATTTGTGTTCAGAGTCAGCTTTCAGAAAGACAGCCATAACCACAGAACTTTATAGTACTAATAAATCAAACTTTAAGACTTAACAGGGCAGCAACGAGAGAGCCCTGTTTGTGGTGCTTTGTGCTTTGCAGCTGAAATGGGATCATTATTGTACAGAAAAGTCTCTTCCTTCTTGAAAAATAAGGATGACACTTGGAGAGTAAACTTTACTGAAAACCTAGTAAAACCTAGAGGCAAACCCCTCTGATAGTAAAATCAGCCAAACCAGATAAGATAGACTCTTAAAGTTTTCCTCATAGGACACAGATGTAACTGAACATGAAGTTTTAATCCCTTTTAATAAACAAATAAATACATACATAAAAGTGGATTTTAACTTATAATTTCAGAATCACTTACTTTATCTTAACAATACCAATACTTGTAATTTATGGAAAATCTCAGAAGGCAGACTACTTGTTCCCTGTTCATCAACTACCTTATAATTAAAAGGCAAAACAGGACAAAATGTGACCTCAATGAGAATAAAACTATGATTATCCCAGAGCTCCAGCCTTATTTCCTCCTCACACAAGGAAGTTCAAACCATCAGGTTATAAAATCTATTGTTTGCTTTCTCCTCTCTGTGTTAAGATATATAACTTAAGATTTACTGGCTATTTACCTTCTTTGTGCAGGAAACATACCAGATGCAGATGCCTGCGCAGCCACCTGCTGAGTGGCAACAAGGGCAGCAGAGGTCAATCCTGAGGGAAAGAAGAAATGAAGGAATGTTGATGTACTTCTGGTTTTAATGGGTCTTTGTGAGAAAAAGTAGGAAGTATCGCTAAGGCAAACAAACAGAAAGCACCATTAGGAAATGGCGTGGTGTCAATATTACACCAATGGCAAATGTTTCAGGCAACAGCATTAAGGAAGCCTGGCTAGTATGATCTATGTGCCTTCTTCTAAGTATACTGAAATGTCCTTAAGAGATATTTTACAAGAAAATACAACATTTCTACTGATTGTATTCCTTTTCAAGTACTGCACTGCATGCTGCTAAATGGTTTGTATGAATTCCTAAACAGTAAGCTCAGTAGAAGTAACAGGTACCAGGAAACAACAAGTACCAAAAGTCACCGTCAATTACAGACACAACATGCCAGCTGCTCAGAATACAATGCTCTCATAATGACTTCCCATTTTATAGTTTTCCTACTGAACAGGCATGATGCATCCCGTAGGCATATGGCATCACTGAATCAAACTGAGACATGTCAAGACTTTTACAAAGGAAAAATGGCTGCTGAGACACCAAGTGAACATAATGAATTAATGCTGTTTTAGCCAGCAATTGTGATAGCACGTACTTTGCTGCATGGGAGGAAACCTCCTTTTAATTCAACTAGAATCCAGACTCACTGAAAAACGGTCAGAGACTGGGATAAAACCTAGAGAGAATGAATCATGTGTCACTGTGCTGCTTTTCCCTGATTGCAACTTTATGCGCTGCATCTGACAAAATACAAAGAGTTCTCTTTCAGACACTGGAATTATAACAAGCTCAAACCCTTGTGACTACAATGCCTTGTACATAAAATATCCTCATTATAAAAAGCTTTTGTCTTTGCTATACTTCTTCCGTTGCCTACACAATCCTAATTATATAAAAAGGAGGTTGTTTGTTTTTCAGTGTCTTTCATCCAGTTAACGTCAGCTTGCAACAGTAATCAAGACATGCACACAAGTGACACAGCCTAACTGGTACATCTTTAATAATATTCTAAGTAGCAGTCTTGGTAACAAAACCTGGTATCTCTTCAGGCATGAGACTATTCATTTACTTTCAGTCCTAGTTGTGAGTTTCCAAACTTTCTTCTTAAATGTAATGCATTTTTGATTTAACAAGGGGATCTCTATTCAAAATGCCTCATGTAGGCATGACTTGCAATGTCAAAGCAACAACTTGACAAGGCAAATTAATCTCATCAGTCAAAACCTTCTGCTCACCTTGAAATGGGTCATATTGTCCAGGTATAAGCGGGTAACCCATTCCAACATGTGTGTGATGGTGTGTGTGGAGATGTCGCTGGCTAAAAGGTGAATGACGATCTCGTTCCCTTTCTGCTTCCCGTTCACGCTCAGCTGCTGATTTTTCCACGGGCTAGCAATAAAAGGTGGTAGAAAACTGATGTGAGATTAATTAATTATTATTATTATTATTTTTTTTTTAAAGACGGAAATCTCAACAACAATTACAAAAAAGAAAACACTTGCCAACATTAAATGCCAAGGACCTTCTGCATTCAAATGGTGAAGCTAATAATTTAATGGATTATTGAACTCGATTCTAACATAAAGCTGGTGTATCTGCCCAACAGAAGAATTCAATGAGCGGAGATTCTGGCACAACAAACTGCAGGATGAAGTCACCATGCTGATTTCCATTTCACATACCCATAAGCTTGGCTGACTTGCCAATGCATGAACAACCTACTTAAGCTGGTGATAAACTGATGTAGAGACTTCTCAGCCCTCTTTAAACACTCTAGGATCAAATCTGTCTGAATAGCTAGAAAGACCTTTTGAAAATAGAATGAAAGCCAGTGACTTGCTCGCAATTAAAACCAGCACCAACTTGTCTGAAAGTCTTAGTGTTTGTGCCAACATTGGAAATCTTCATAGATGAGGACTAATAATCTGCTGTTTGGAAGATATGGCTTCACGGCAAATACAAGCAGGGTATCTTACCAAATCCCACAGCTCAACTTCCCATTTCGTTTTCTGTTTCCAAACAGAAGCTTTCTACCAACTGCAATAAACTGTGCACCAGGAGGTATCTCTGAATCTAGGCTCCATATAAGTCTGTTCATTTAAGTTAGGCAGACTCTGAGAACAAGAACCCTGTTACATGTGTCACTTCTAATTTATGTCACAGAAACATCATGACTTGAAACTGATTTTAAGCAGTAATACAAAGAAGCATTATGTATTCAATGCTTGATGCCAGATCGTATGCTTCTTAAAATGGTGTTCTTTAGACATCTCCAAATGCACCACTCCTGAATAACAACAGAGGAAGCCTTACAACAGGAGACTTGCTGCGATACTGGCTGGCATGCTGCTGGAGCAAATCCAGTGCTTTGGACTCAGTGGTTGATTTCGTATTGATGCTTGGGCTGGTACTGACTTTCTCCGCCTCTTCTCTCCCTGACACCTTCCCATAAACTGGGTAATGAAATCCTGGAGAGAGATATGCCCCTGCAGGTAAACGAGAAATACAATATCAGGTTGCTGTTTTCACATTTTGGTTGCATTGATGTAGCAGAAGGGAATGCCAGGGGAGACGGTAACATCAAGATCAGATCAAGTGGCTATCAGACAGAAGCTTTGCTCTTCTTCTTTTTTTTCTTTTTTTTTTTTTTTTTTTTTTTAATATCTACTTTATCCTGATGGCTGATTATGGAATGAAGATTATAAAGAAGGTTGAGCTGATAGCCATTTCATACATTTATGGGTCCTCTTTAAGTGAAAGAAGTAGTAACTGTAATGGTTTTGACTGTAACTGCTTAGAATATTTTTATAGGCTATAACCTATCCGTCAGTCTAACAGCAACAGCAGACAGTCAAGGATTGAGGAAACTCTGGCTGGAAACTGTGACAGTTCAAAAAAGGAACATTTTGTGTCAAATCTGTTTGATCTATAGAACTTTCTCAAGTGGAAGCACTAACAAAACAAACGTCACCCACAAAGCTTCTGATTTACTTTAGCTACTATCAGAAATAATAAAATTCAAGCTTCACTACACTTTGAATGTGCAAATCTTAACGAGTGCACAAGGCAAATTTCAGAATACATACCAGGATAGCTGTGCATTAGGACAGGAGAGACTGCTCGATAGGCTGGATGGTTGGGATCATACATCTGTGGATAAGGATAAGCATGCAAGTACTGGATATATGACTGATGCTGACTCATTGGTGAGGAAACTGCTACTCTAGCACCTCGAGAGTCCTTCCAATTTACAGGAGTCTTTCGATCATCATTTTTTATCTTGCTCTCATCCACTGATTGAGAATCAGAACGCTTGACCTCTTTAGGCTCCTCTTTAATGCTTGCTAATGAGACAGGAAGGTTAGGCAGGGAACTTTCCTTGTTAGGTGTTTTTCTAGGGCTGTCGTCTTTTAACTTTTTATCCCGATCAAGTTCTTCTGACTTTTGCTGATCAAGGTATTTAGGCTGATAGACATAATGATGCCATGTTCGTGTATCTGGATCCTAATATGGAGGAGAAGAAAATTTTGTTCTAAACTTGCATGTTGAAAAAAAATCAATATTGATATTCCTCACATTTCACTTAATGCACTTTTAACAACTAGTTTAATAACATATCCATATTACATAGAGATTTGCTTGCTACAGAGTGCCTTGAGCTCAGAGACAAACCAATATTCCCATGAAAGACTAAGAGGCTATTATCAAAATTTAATTCAACTGCTTCATTTTATATCCTTCTTCATGCCTTTAACTATTTTAATCATGAAATACGTATGCATTGTACCAAAGTTCTGAGACCATGCTATTCATAAAACATTTTAATTAAAGCCCACAGAGATATCTTCCCAGTAGAGAGCAAAAAATATCTGCGAACCACGAAATTAAAGCTGCCTAACGATACGTCAGAGCATTTAGATTACCTGGAACAATGAATGCGAAAAACAAATCTAGCTGAAAAGATGATTATGCTATCAGATATTGCAAACATTCATAAATCAGTCCAGGTCTGACACTTCAGCAGGCTTCTCTGGGTTGGCAGTCTTGTTTTAAGTTTGTAAAATTACACATGGACAAACATTCACAGTGTCAACACAAGGCTTAGGGTACACATACAGGGTATCACAAATGCATTTTTTGCTTAATATATTACATAAAACAGTTCATAGACACTTTGTAGAATTAAAAAGCTGACTTATTTACCAGACTACATTAAATCATCAGTACTGAACAATAATAGCAAGACTTTTTTTTTTTTTTTTTTTAATGCAAAATATGGAACAGCTAAGTGCAAACACTGCTCTAACAGATACACATGCAATGAAAACATAAGCACAGAATTAGACGCTTGGACTGTCTGGTTCAAAAATTCATTTGAATCAGCAGAAATCTTCTTCTCAGGCCTGTGCCATTCCAGTTCCTTTAGAGCTCTCCAACTCCCATTCACCTGACCCCACTGCATCTTGAAAGACAGACTGCTAGGGTGAAGTTTGGGTTGTATCATACCCCAGAACATGAAAGTATTAAGCGCTGAGGCTTCAGTTCAGAACACAGAGTCAGTAACATTGCCTGGAATGAAGGAAATTTGACATCTAGGAAGGTCAGCATGAGCCACTGGATGAAATTCTGGTTCCACTGAAGTCAACAGCAAAACTATCACTGACTTCAATGGAGAAAGGATTTCATCCATTGTGTGGGTCCGTAGGGGTTTGAGGTTGGTTGAGGAGAGAAGGGGAACTAAACTGTTTCAAAAAGGTCACCTTGGGTTAAGATAACTAGCTGAGCTTCAAGCCAATTCTTCAAAGAACCAGCTCACCCATCTTTTGTAAATGCCAACTGTCATTTAACAAAAAAAAAAAGAAAGAAAAAAAAAGGAAACACTTCAATCCATGTTTCAAATCTACTTCAAGTCCTCTCACAATGGAAGCTGCTTATGTTGCTTGAAATGTCTCATTTCTGAACTAAGCAAATTGCTTAGCTTTTACATCTAAAAGAGTAATCTAATTATTTTTATTCATGCATGTAATTTAAAATAGTCTGTTCAAGTCTTAAGTCTGGATCCTGTCACCACCTTGCTAGATCTTTTTTTCTCTTTTCAAGCAGCTCAACTGAAAGGTCTATTGGTCTATTCACAGACCACAGTACTATCCAGCATGAAAAAAGGATGGTGGAGCTCGCTTGACTGCAAAGGTAGAAGAACATGGCAAAATCAGGGATAAAATCCCCCACATTTTAAGGACAAACCAAGACATTCTTGTTCCATTTCCTGTGATCTCACCTGTTTAAATCTTGTAGTTGGATCTACGCCCGTTTGCTTCATGGAGTCCATGACAGATTTCATCTCCACAGCCTCCTTTATGAGCTGATGGTTTTCCATTTGTTTGGCTTTGAAACTGTCAGACTGAAGCTGCTGCTGGTGATTGGAAAGGATCTGTGATTTGCTTGTTTCCTCACCTTTGCTAGGGACCAAAGACCCTATTTTAGTGTTATTTTTGCTCAACTCCGGAGTTGAAGGAGCCTTTGAAATAGTTGCAGACGGAATATTTTTCTGCTTATCATCCTTTCCAATTTCCTTCAACGGAGGTTCATTCTTCCTTTCACAGTCCCTCCCAGTCTGTACCAACTTCTGCTCTGCTAGCCGCTGGTCCTCATAATATTTTTCATACTGCTGTCTGTAAGCAGGGTTAGAGGCCATTAAGGACTTTTGGTCCATATAGAGCCCATAGGCATATTGTCCATAATAAAGTGACTGAGCAAGTGCAGGGTGTCTTTGTGTTATTACTGACTGATGTTGTGGCTGCAAATTAGAGGAACCACTTTCATTCTTCTTGGCTTCTGACGGTTCCCCCTTCTCCTTCTTTTCAGCCTCTTCATCTGCCTCTTTTTTGATCTTCAGTCCCTGTGGGGTACTGCAGTTTCCAGCTGCTGGGGCACTGACCTGTCCAGACTGCATGTAACTTGGAGAATAATAAGGATCGTAGCCATGGTAATAGGGAGAATGGGACTCTTTCGCTTGTGCCGACTGTGATGCGGTTGAAGAATGTACTTTTACAACACTGTCCTTATTGGAAATGATATCCGAAGGAGAGCCGGCCTTTGACCTCACACCCTCTGACCGGCTGTCAGAGCCACCATCATCAGCTGCATCAGAAATATCAGAGTAAGCAGGGCTGTTGGTTTTAGCAGCAGCGCTATCCGCACCATTTTGTGTTAACACATGCAGTGGCGCCATTGAAGATTGTCCATTCACCAAAGTGCTGCATTCCATCCTGGAGGCACTCCCTATAGAAGGGCTGGGCGCATTGTCTGTGAATGTGTAAACCTTATCAGCTTCAGCCTTAATACTTGCCATCCTGCTCTCTTGAGACTCAGAAAGTCCATTAGCTAACACTTCATTCTTATTGAGATGGTCCTTTAAAAAATGTCCAGATAAATCTTTCCCAGACCCTTTTGAATCCTCTAGCTTTCCCAGCTTAGAATCCATTTTAGGGCTTCCACTCTCTTTGCTTTCTTTGTCCTTTAGCTTACGCTTCTCCCTTTTCTTTTTGTCTTTGAGTGATGTGAGAGCTGGGTTTACAGTGCTTGGCTCTCCCATAATCGTGGGCTTTGGTTGAATAGGTTTTAGCGGAGGGCTCTTTGGTGTAGCCTGAACAACAGTAGTTGTTAGAGAGGGCAGTCCTGGTATTGTCCCTGTAGTGCTGGTTGTAAAGGCTGCAGAAGGTATAGCTATTAACTGGGGAGGAGCCGGTGCTGGCGTTGGGGCAATGGGCCGGGCTGTTTTCAGTTTGGAAATGTTTTTATCCACTTTGCAGTTATTAGCTTTCTTGCCTTTATCACTCAAACTCTTCTTGTCTATTAACCCTTCGGCCTCCAGTTTTGGCATTTCAGTTTGCAAATTGCCATCTGTTACAGAGCAATTATCCAGTGTGGCTGACATGTTAGAAATTACTGGAAGGCTGTTCAGTTCACTGTTCAGACCCTTCTTTTTGCCTGAATTCTTGCCAGTTTTGGAACTGATAACTGAACTGGTGCCATTGCTTGTCGGTTCCCTTTTTCCCTTGGGGGTCCCTGGGGTAGTAACAGAGGAAGGAGATGTAGGTGCTTTTAGTGGATCAAAGCCTGGCAAATTTGTGCTTGCTTCACTGCATTCAAGTGCCGCATTACTCAATGGTTCTTCACAGTCTGAAATTTTATCCTCGCTGTCAGGCTCAAACTCCAGTTTGTTTTCTGGGTCTAAATGTGCATGAGCCTGATGGTATCGTAGTCCATTAATGTGCTTGTACTTTTTGTTGCAGTTGGGGTGAGGACAGTCAATCAGCACCGGAGAAGAGCAGCCTTGGTCCAAAAAAGTAGCCTCTGGTTTCCCCTGTGGGGTGGTTGGAGTGCTCCTGGAGTTAGTACGAACACGTTTTCCACACTTACTGTCCTCTGAACTGGAGTTTAAGTCTAGCTCCATAGGAGGCTTAGTTTTTCTCTTGTTTGTTGATGAGGGGCTGGCTTTGACTTCATCCACAGAGCAATTTGGGGGTGTCCTGCGTCCACTTGAGTTAAGGCTACCCCTCCTTCCCTTTCCATTAGCACCACCTCGATTCTTACTCTGAAGTCCCCTAGACTCAGTGAAACTTGTATCATTTCCAGGTATAGCCACAGTTGCAGCAGACCTTGCCCGCTTCCCCCTACCCCTTCCTCCTCGCATTTCCAGGTCACTCGTTGGAGATTCACAAAACCTAAATGTAAACAAGAGCAGATGTCATCAGAAGGAGCTGTGAACTGAAGAGATATGTCAAAATAACACTGGTTCCCATAACAGAACTTTCATGACTTTCATGTGTATTAAAGGACTGATGTCTTTCCAAATAATAGTGTTGGAGTCTCAAAAAGAACGAGATTAAGAAAAAAAAAACAATAATGGCAAAAAATGAGACTACCTAATTACAATGGAGAGAAAATTCTTCCAAACCTATGGAAATATATATATATTTATCTCCCTTTGCTTGAATCCCATGCATCTCCTACTCCCTCTCAAAAACACAAAACAAAAGCAAATAAAACATCCCACCTGCAGGCCCCCAGTTTTCAGTGGAGAAGAGAGAATTACTCATTTCATGGCTGCATGTTCTCAGTTATAACCATTTGGTTTTTATTATCTCTATACAGTCTCTCGACGGAAAGTGGGAGTGAAAACACATTCAGCAGAGAAAAAACACAATTAGAACAATTGCCTACCTGGGAGGGGCCCAGTCATGCTTTGTGCAGTCCAGCAGTGTTCCCACGTAAGTCTTGTTCCTCCACGTAACGTTTACCACCAGGACACCTGCCAGTGGGAGAAAAACAAAGTATTATCACAGCCAACATCACAACAACTGGCGTAGGATTTTTTTGTTTTGTTTTGTTTTTCTTCCGATATTTTTCCTTCTCCACAAAGTCAGAGTTTTCTTCTTGTTTGCTTTCAAACACTGTAGTCTATACGCTTCCTCTTTCCTAGTTTCAGTGACCTCGAGGTGAAACTCACTGGAAAGAGAGCAAACAAAAAAGAACAAGAGCCTGCGTGCAAATATGTGCGTGTACGTATATGTGTATGAGAGTGTGCATGCCTGACTTTGTGTGCAACCAAGACAGAGCTGACAGAAGGAAATGGTTTTTGCCATGTCCTGCTGTAAAACGGCAACATTCACCTCTTAATTTTGCTGTTATTGCACATAATTGCTTTTGCTTGGCAGCCAGCCAGCATAAACTGAGCACCAGTCACAGTGTTTAAATCAGTAGGTGACCAAGGAGAATCTGCTATGCTTTGAACGATATGATAATGACGCTTCTATTTATTTGAAACTGCATACATCCAAATACACAAACATGTACACATACACATGTAAGCTCTCTTTAACAGACAGAAGCACCTATTATTTGCCTTGCCTTTTCATCTGTGAAAAGCAATGGACTAGACTTGAAATCACAAGCATTTAGTGAGACTGAGAGAAAAAGCAATGAAGATATGTAGAAAGAGGTCTCTTTTAAATACATATATACTGTAATTTAATTGCTTCTCCATTTAAAATCCCTTTTAAATGCAAATACATCCGCCCACCTAGAGGTAATTGAATCTTGGATGATTTTCAAATTATCCCTTTAAAATGCCTGTGTGGTAAGGCTATCTTAAATGACCAAAAGATAAACGGGGGGGGGATGGGAAAGTCATTTAAATGTTTCAGCCTCCTCTCCAACAGATAACTTATCTTGTTTATGGACTAGCTGACATAATGACCCCTTTAATTCATAACCACACATAAGCACGAGTCACCTCTTCTCATTAGAACATACAGTGAAAGCACATGTATTTTACTTATCAAAGAAAGGCACAGAGCAAAACGTTTCTGACCTGTAAGAGGCATTAAGACACTAATTTGCAGCTGCCAGCCTTGTGACTTGTTTTTCCTTTACGCTTCCCCTCTTCTAACTCTAGCTTTTACATAACAGATATAATAATGGCATTGTGCCAAACATTTCTAGCCTGTCTGCTTGCTTTGTCTTAGCAGTGTGATTTCCAATTTTGCACACAAACTGTCCCTCTGTGCTGAGCCAAGGTAAAGTAAACATGCAGCTAGCAGCTTATTTCCTCAGGGGCCTTTTAACATCAAGGAAGCGTTTGAAGTGTTGTTAGTTGAGATACAAAGGAAGAAGGGATTTCCTTGAAAATTCTCTGCAGCAGATTTAGAAATCATTCCTCATGCGGTTTTCAGCCAGCCCTACAACAGGATGGCTGCAGGATTTTGCATGCAAGGGCTCTTCAGGCCTGGATCGCTATCCAGGCACCTCGAAGACCTGGAAGGACTGCGGCCATACTGCTTTCTCTGCTCATGGCTTGGGCCAGGACTGCAGGAGGAAGTGGTCCCTGGCCTGCACTGCTGCCAGCTGTGGCATCTTGGTGATCTCTCTGGTGTGTTGGAGACCCAGTCATTGACAGAGATGCCTACAGCCACATGGCTATGGTGCAGCCATCCCACACCATTCTGTCCCATTCCTGTGGCTTCTAGGAGGGAGTCAATGCTGCCTCAGTGCTAACATGGATCACTTGGTCTGTCATCATTCTGCAGGGCTGGCACTACTCTGTGCCTTGGAACCTGTTTGTATCAACACACCTCAGAGCCCCAAAGTGGAAATCGGGCTTTGCTATTGGAACAGTCCCATACTCAGCCCCCATAAGCCATCCACGTACCTGGAAAGGCGGCTTCACTGGCAGTCCTAGTGCTTTCCTTCCACACTAAATAAATCCCCATCTTCCTCAATATTTGTATTCTTGTCTCTCTCTTAATGTGTGCTATCTTTATACATTAATTTATTAACAGAGCTGAGTTAACTTTTAGTAGAAACATACGCAGTCTGTTATCTGTTACTAGAAAAGAGACCGAAGGAGCAGATGTGTAGTAGGCATAATAATTAAACCCTGAAATCAATAAACATTTCAGTAATTCTTAAAAGACATTCAAATGACCTCCAAGAGTAAGAAAGTCAATACCTCACAAGCAAACATAAATAAGTTCCTCTCTCGCCGTCAGTTACACTTACCATCTCGTTAAGTTTGTTAGACTTAGTGAATGTCCCAGTACCTAAGTGCGAGGGAAGATTAATCCCCATGCTGAGTTAGAGTAACTGTGTTAGGGATTCAATTTCCTTTACCTAATGAACAGCACAGTACACAACCATAGGTAGGACTCTGCAGAACAGGTAGTGAAAGTAGTTCATTTAAAGTTATCAAAGAAATGGATCGAAAGAATAGAAGTAACATGAGAGGTAGGACTGACCCTGAAAGCAACATGCAACTGGCAGGTCTGTGAGACCCAAGTACTGAGAAATGAAAAAGGATATGAGACAGGTAAATAGTGTACTTTGTATGTTAACTGCATCACTGAAGATAAAGGATTATTTTTGCTGAATTCAGTCAGCATGTACTATTACAAGCTTCTTTGATCCAGAATTCTCATCCTCATACAGAGCTCAGCCACAAAAAAATAACCTCAGCCAGCACTTCCTTGTATGTCTCAGAGTCAGTACACACATTGAAGGCATTTTCAGTTTAACTTCAAGAAATGCATTTCATAGAATCAAGGTCAGAAAAGACTTCCAAGATCACCTAGTCCAACCATCCACCTGCCGCCAAGATTTCCCCTCTGTGCTTTAATACAACATCTAAGCATATCTTGAACACCTCCAGAGACAGTGACTTCCTGGTCTGCCTGTTCCAATGCCTGACCACTCTTCCTGAGAAGTTTTTCCTAATATCCAATCCGAATCTCCCCTGTTGCAAGTTGAAGCTTTTCCCTCTGGTACCTCCCTGCAGAGAGTGATAAGGTCTTCCTTGAGTCTCCTCCAGAATAAACAATTCCAGCTCCCTCAGCTACTCCCCACAGGACTTGTGCTCCAGATCCCTCAGCGCTCCATTGCTTTTTTCTGGACACAGTGCAGGTCCTCACTGTCTTCCTTGTAGAGAAGGACCCAAAATTGAACATAGCACTCTTGAAGTATAGAGGGATAATCATCTGCTCCTGCTGGCAACACTATTTCTGATACAAGCCAGGATGCCATTGGCCTTCTTGGCCACCTGGGCACACTGCTGGCCCATGTTCAGCCAAGCATCAATTGGACCCTCAAAATTGGACCCTCTGCCACTCCCCATAGGACCTGTGCTCCAGATCCTTCACAGCTCCGTTGCCTATTAGTCTGCAACAATCTTTTAAAAATCATTTTCTTAGAATTGTCTGAATAAGAGTGAAAATGTAAGGGCAGTCTGAAAATCCCAAGAGTTTCATACTATCTGAATACAGAAATGTATTTTCACTTTTAAAATAATGCCCAAGAGGCTATAAACAACCTTAAACAACCACTACTGTATAATGGAAGAAGAAATCAGATGTTTGTAATGCAGAATATATAAGGGTATCTGGACTCTCAAATTCTAATTCAGGATATTTGGCCAAAATATCTAGTCCAGTTTTTTTGAGGTAGAGTCCTACAATACTGATAAATATCTATAAATAACATACAAATGCTTCTTGCATTACAAATGCTAAGGTTGTCAAGTCAGTTGTAACAATTATCAGAGCACAATTCACATGATTTAGATTTAATAAAGCAAAGCTTATCCCAAAAGAACAGATGTCTTAATCTAATTCATTATTGTTATTCCATGTGCAAATTACACAACTACTCACAATATTTCTGAAATACAATACAATGCAATACACTTTGCACTTCTCAGTGTCAAATATGCTAGAATAAAGTAGCTACAAATAAGAAATAATCTTTCCCAAATGTCAAAAATTTTAACCAGTGCTCCCCTATTATTATTAAGGCTTAGACACAATAATTGGTCGACAATTAATGCTCAGCGACTGCCAAAAGCAATCTCACAGAGGAAAATGGGGTCACATTTCTTAGAAGCCTTACAGTTCAATTCCCATAAGCTTGTCCATCTCTTTCCTGCCAAAATCCTTTATTAGCCAAGTTAGAACAATATTCAAAACTCTTAACATAAAGTGAAAGTACACACAGATTGTCACCTCATGTCCACCACTACTAATGGAAGTTCCCCCTTCACATCAGAAGCAAAAAGAGATTATGAATATTGGTATTTTTATGCATGTTGGATGTACTGAGATATCTTCAGTTCATTCATCACCTTAACAACCAGAACATGGGTAGCTAGACTGGGCAAAAAAAACCAACACTGCTTAGGAAAAACTAATATATGCCTAGAAAAGCACAACACCACCTCACACAAGCAGTCCTGATAGATAATAACATAATAAACTGTATAAAATAATGGTGACAATTTCCTCTTGTGTTTTATTACAGAACAAAAGATATTTTGTTCTGTACAAACTGATACAGATATTACAAAAGTGATTTGTAATAAAATCACTTCCAGAAAGGAAACATTTCTTATGAGTTCTGTGGATGGGGTATATATGCTGCTTCCCTTCCCTACCCTTAAATTCCTTCAGTGATTGCACAGCAAAGAACATCACTAAAATGTCATTGGATATTTACCATGAATAATGTCAAAAACATTTGAAAACAAAGATATCCACATTATTTCCTCTTGATTTGATAACAGTTATATTCTTTCACAGTGAGCATAAAAAAATGCAGAGGTGCTATTTTGAAGTAAGCAATCGTTATCATAAGGCACCAAAAGAGGAGTGTGAGCATATTAACTGCCTTTATATGGCACTTTTATCAGCCATGTCAAGCTCGTAAGGATATCCTTAAGTCTCACGAGCATACACTCCTGTAGATATCCTTTCATCTAAAGAAAAA